ACCAAACATGTTTGTAGTTTATGTTTTTCTAAAAATAAACAAAAATCAATTTATAAATTTTTTATAAATATAAACTGAAAACGTAAACGTTGCCAAACACACCCAAGTGACTGATTTATGATCTGGAAAACAAACCCCACCTGCGAAATAGGCGGTTCCGCGTGGTACGAAATTACTTTTTGAAAACAAAAAAATATTCACAAATATAAAGTGAGGTGTTTTGGGAAGTTGGTTAAAAGTTGACTTTTGATTTTTTAACAAGCTTTTTAGTTTTTTGGAAATTGATTTGGGAAGTTGATAAAAAGTTGACTTTTGACTTTTTAGTTTAATATTTGTTTATGGTGTCAAATCAAATTAAAATGACCAAAATACCCTTACCCAGCATAAGAAATTTATTTTTTTATTTTTTTGTCATAGGCCCTAATTTGTAATTTTACACCTGCGTTTTTAGAACTTCCCAAACCAATTTTGTTGCGTTTTTGCAACTTGCGTTTTTGGAGCAAAGATAAAAAAAAATGCGGCTTTTTATTTTGGTTCCCAAAACGGCACTTAAAATACAGCAAAATTATATTTATATTACAAAAAATAGATGATTATACTTAAAATTAAAATAATTATCTATTTTTTTAAGTAAATATGATTTAAACATATAATTATTGATATATAATCTTCTTAATTTTTACATAATTATTCTATCTAACAAGTCTTAAGAAAGGAACGGTTTGAATTACCGAGATCGTTCCTAAAATGAGTCCACTAAAACCAAACAATCTCTCAAGTTGAATGGCCAAATTAAAAGAAGCTAAACATTGAAAAAAAATATTATAAAAAAAAACTAATCAACTCCAAGTTTATAGATAATAAAATGAAAAAAAAAAAATTGTTTTCAAAACTTAACTGTAGAAATTAATGATAAATTTAATCAAAATGAAGGATTAAAATTATAAAATCTTAGGCCTCGTTTGGCAAGAGGCTATTTTAGCCAATTAGCCAAAAAATTACTAAATTAGCCAAAAAGTCAACAACCCATACCAAAAAATCAAAGATTCTCTTTTCTCTCTACTTTTTGCACATCTTTTCGTAATTAGCTAAAAAGTCATAATCAACTCCAAGTTTATAGATAATAAAATGAAAAAAAAAAAAATTGTTTTCAAAACTTAACTGTAGAAATTAATGATAAATTTAATCAAAATGAAGGATTAAAATTATAAAATCTTAATCATGTATATGTAGTAATTTTTTCATGATCTCACTAAGGTGGTGTTTGATAAAATTAAAAATTAAAATTTGAAGACTGAAAATTAAGTATTGAAACAAAATGCTAAATTTTTTTAAAGTGAAAAGTTGTTTGATAAAAATTTAAGTGATGAATTAAAAATAAATTATTTGATATATGTAAGATAAAATTTGAAATTTATTATTTTTAAATTATATATTTTAATTTTTATATTGTGGTGGTGGTGGTGGTGGTGGTGGTGGAAAAGTGATTGTGGTAATAGTGGAGGTGTAGTGGAGGAATAGGGGTGTTGGTTGTAGTTGTGGTGTCGGTTGCAGTTGTGGTGTCGTGGTGGTGGAGGTAGAGAGTTCTATTAATAATGGTGGTATTGTGGTAGCGATGGCGGTAGTGGCGGCGGCATGGTGGTAGTGGTGGTTGTGGTGGTGGCATGATGGTTGTGATGGTAGTGACAGTAGTGGTAGCGGAGGTGGTAATGAGTTTATAATAGTGTATATATATTTATGTTTATTATTTATAAATTCAGTTATTAAGTAAATTTTATATGATTTAATTTTTATTTTTTTTAAGTTTTAACCTATATTTTAAGAGACACTTAAATTTGTAAATGATATCAATTATAATTATCAAACGAATTGAATTGATTATCACTTAATCAATTTAGTTTTAAGTGCTAAATCATGTTATCAAATACTCCTAACTAAGGAGATGTTATTGGTTGGTCTTGAGGGATCGTCAGATGATTTAATAGTGTTGTGATTAATAAAAGATGTAAACTTTATAATTTTATATTGAATGATTAAAAAATATAATAATTTGTGATTTATGAAGAATTACACTTTAGATCAATCAATAATTTTCTTTAACTAAAAGTAATTTTCCCTTTTTTTTACACGAAACTCCCTTAACGCTATGTTTGGATTGAGTGATTTGGACAGAAAAGAAAAGAAATAGAGAGATATGTATTTCTCTTACTTGTTTAGATAACCTAAATTGAGAGAAATGGAAAGAAATTGAGAGAAATGGAGAGAAACTCATTTCTCTTATAAGTCTCATTTTTAATCTTTCCAAAAGTGAAGAGATTAGGAGAGAAAAGAAATCACTATTTTCATAATACCAATTTTGTACCTAGAAAAGTAAAAGAAATAAAATGATTAAAAATATTAAAAAGTTATTTTGATAATATAATATAAAATAATTTCTTTTCTTTTCTCTTAATGCAATCTAACTAAACAAAAATGAGAGAAATTATAATCATTTCTTTTTTTTTATTTCTTTCTTATTTAAATAAAAAAAAATCACAATCATATTTTTTTTTTCTTATTTTATTACTTAAGCAATCGTTTTTTTTTTTTTTTTTTCTTTCCTCTCTTAAGTTCCAAACACATAAGTTCCAAACACAGTGTGAATGTGGGCTCAATTAAATAAACAAAACAAAATAAAATGGGGTAAAATGGGGGCTAAAGGCGCTGTTCTCTCTCTCTCTCTCTCCCCGCCCTTTCCTACACATAAGTTCCAAAGACAGTGTGTAAATGTGGGCTCAATTAAATAAGAAAAATGCTTAGAGGTCCCAAATTTTCTATCAATTAAATGATCAAATGTCTCACATGGGTGTGGGGTCCACAAAATTGTGAACCCCACACTCATATGAGATATTTGGTCATTTGTTTGGTAGAAAATTTAGTGTTCCTAGCATTACCCATTAAATAAACAAAACAAAATAAAATGGGGTAAAATGGGGGCTAAAGGCGCTGTTCTCTCTCTCTCCGCCCTTTCCTAGCAGAGTGAACGCTGGTTTACAGACACCATTACTCAGCAAGTAAATTTTTTTTTTGTCTGTTACTCTCTCTCTCCCTCTCTAGCTGTAGTGCAGAGCATTAAAGAAGAGCTCTGTGAGTTCGTGAATACTTTCTTTTAAATCAGAATTAGAATATCCCCGCAGTGTTACGTGTGAATTGTGTTTATAATTATTTATATATGTAAATTGTGATTTTTAAATTTTTTTTTATATTATATTAAAATTTAATATTTTGATAATAATCATATGTATTAGATTTTTTTAAAAAATTAAATGTTTTTTTTATTATATTAAAATTTAATAGTTTGATAATAATCATATGTATTGAATTTTTTAAGAAATTTTTTTTATGCTTATTCTTAATGTATTAAAGTGTTATTACGAGGGATAATAATCATATATGTTAGGACTTTTTAAGGAATTCATATATGTTATATTTCAATTTTTTTTTTTTACATTTGTTCTTAATGCATTAAAGTGTTATTATAAAGGTAAGACTTGGGAGTTGAGAGAAATTAATAAATGCTAAAGTTTTTTTTTTTAAATCAAAAAATCAAAAAATTTAGATTAGGAGATTAAAACTCCAACAAGACTTGGGGTTAAAAACTCATTTCGCTTAATATATAGTATAGATTAGGGGTGATTTAGAATGATTTAAATAAGTGCATTTTTTGACTTTTTGTGAAATATGAGTTGGATATAAGTTGAGTTTGAAGTGATGTAATAAACAGATGATATGACTTAATAAGATGATATAACTTAAATAAGATAAGATAGTAACTTTTTAACTTTTTGATTTTTTTTTTAAAGTAATCCAAACAACTCCTTAGTCTGCCTCTATAAAAACCCCTTCTTTTTTTAATTTTTTGCTTGCCATGTTCTCCAACAACTTATTAGTTGGCCTCACCTCTTTGACTCCAATTTCCTTTCCCCACATGTATTTGAGTGCATATACCTGAAAAATTTCGATCTATGAATCTGTCAACATCTTTGAGTTGTTCTACAGTTCAGGCCGCTCTGTATTTCCGATCTTTTACTGTCATGCACAAGTGTTTGTTGGTTTCTCTTATTTGTATTCATATTCTCTGAGATCTCTCATAAAGGTTCATCTTTCAAATCTGGGTCTATCTCTCTCTCTCTCTCTCTCTCTCTCTCCTTCTCTATCTTCTAGCTCGCTGAATCTCACATCACAGGTGCCCTCTTTTCTCTTCTCTGTTCACTCCTCTTTAATGGGTATTTGATAGTTTCTGTGCTTGTTTGAATATAAAAACCCTAGATTTCGTTTTTTTTGCTCTGTGATTTCTTGATATTTTCGAATGATGGGTTGTGGAACTCATGAATTGTTGATTCGGGTTTCAGTCATATTGTCTTTGTTCTGCTTTTGTACTGGATTTAGTCCTGTAGATAAGTATTTTATAGACTGTGGATCACCCACCAACACCACTTTGGGTGATCGAGTTTTCATGGCAGATAGCTTAGCTTCAAGCCTCCTCTCATCCCCACAAAACATATTATCCAATTCCTCTTCAAATCCCACCACAAACTCCCTCGAATCGCCGCTCTATCAGACGGCGAGGATTTTTTCTGGTGTCTCTAAGTACACCTTCCCTATCACCCAGATTGGGAGACACTGGATTCGCCTTTATTTCTTCCCATCTGTTTATGGGAACCACGATTCGAGCTCGGCCAATTTCTCTGTTTCTGCCCAAAATTTTGCACTTCTTACCAATTTTAATCCGAAAAACGCTTCTGTCAAAGAATTCTCAGTAAATGTATCGAGCCCTCTTGTCATCACTTTCATCCCCGCCAACAATTCATTTGCGTTCTTGAATGCCATGGAAGTTGTTTCGGTCCCTGATTTGCTCATAACCGATGATGCCACTTTGGTTAGCCCTTCGGGCAAATTCCAGGGCCTTTTGACACAGGCAATGGAGACGGTTTTTAGGGTGAATATGGGTGGGCAGACTGTGTCCTTTGAGAATGATACATTATGGAGAACATGGGTTCCTGATCAAGATTTCTTAGTACAGAAAAATTTAGCCACAAATGTATCAAAGATTGGAGCTGTTCGGTATCCACAGGGTGGGGCAACGCCTGATATTGCTCCAGCTACTGTTTATGGTACTTGTGCTGAAATGAACACACAAGGTGATGCCAATAGCAATTTCAACGTGACATGGGAGTTTAATGTGGATCAGGGATTTCAGTATTTTGTTCGGTTTCACTTCTGTGATATAGTGAGTGCATCTGCCAACCAGCTTTACTTCAATGTTTATATTGATTCAACGATTGTTGCTCCGGACTTGGATCTCAGCAATATAAACCTTGGCTTTCTGGCCACTCCATATTATATGGATTTTGTTACAGCCATGAATGAAAACAGCAAGATTCGCATCAGTATTGGGCCGTCTTCTTTAAAAAATAGTCTCCCAAATGCCATTCTAAATGGACTAGAGATTATGAAGATGAATAATTCTATGGGCAGCCTTGACGGAGTGGCCTCCACGGTACCTTCCTCACCAAAGACGAAGAAGAATGTGGGAATGATAGTGGGTTTGATCATTGGTGTGCTTGTTGCTGTTGTGTTGGTGGCCATTGTCTTTTTTATTTGCAGAAGAAGAAATATGGAAAGTCTCGGTCATTCAAAGGCATGGAGTCCTTTCTCCCTCACCATGGGCAGTAAATACTCTAATGGAACAACCCTTAGTACAGTTTCTAACCTCGGATATCGCTTTCCTTTTGCCACAGTTCAAGAGGCTACTAATAACTTTGATGAGAGTTGGGTTATTGGAATTGGTGGTTTTGGGAAGGTTTACAAGGGTGAACTAAATGATGGCACAAAAGTGGCTGTTAAGAGGGGCAATCCCCGGTCCCAACAAGGTTTTGCAGAGTTCAGAACTGAAATTGAGATGCTTTCTCAGTTCCGCCACCGCCATTTGGTTTCCCTGATTGGGCACTGTGATGAAAAAAATGAGATGATTTTGATCTACGAATATATGGAGAATGGGACACTCAAGAGTCATCTCTATGGCGCGGGTCTACCCAACTTAAGTTGGAAGGAGAGGCTTGAGATTTGCATTGGAGCAGCCAGGGGACTTCACTATCTCCATACTGGCTATTCAAAAGCAGTTATTCATCGAGATGTAAAGTCTGCAAACATTTTGCTTGATGAGAATCTTATGGCCAAAGTTGCTGATTTTGGGCTTTCAAAGACTGGACCTGAAATCGATCAAACCCATGTGAGTACGGCAGTGAAAGGGAGTTTCGGGTACCTTGACCCCGAATATTTCAGGAGGCAACAGCTGACAGAGAAATCTGATGTGTATTCATTTGGAGTGGTTTTGTTTGAAGTTCTTTGTGCAAGGACTGTAATAGATCCATCTCTCCCAAGAGAGATGGTGAACTTAGCTGAATGGGCAATGAAGTGGCAGAAGAAAGGGCAGTTGGACCAAATTATAGATCACCATCTTGTGGGAAAAATAAAACCGGATTCTCTCAGAAAGTTTGGAGAAACAGCAGAGAAATGCTTGGCTGAATATGGTGTTGACAGGCCTTCCATGGGAGATGTCTTGTGGAATCTGGAATATGCACTACAGCTTCAAGAGGCGGTTCTTCAAAATGATCCTGCAGAGAACAGTACTAATGTCATTGGTGAGCTCGCTCCACAAGTCAACGATTTCAATCATGTTGATACTACTGTTTCAGCTACCCAGTTTGAAGCGGCAAAATTGGACGATGTTTCAGGTGTTTCAATGAGTAGGGTGTTTTCACAGCTGGTAAAATCCGAGGGTAGATGAGAAAGTGTAGATGGTATGTAACATGATGGGCTTAGCTCATCTTTGGTTTACAACTTCTTGGTTCATCCAGTGGCCTATCTCTGCTTGCCTTACTGGTACCCCCCCAAAAAAAAGTTTTTCTTTATTTTGTTAATATTGGAAGTACTTGTGCACGACGTGGTGTGGCTACCAACAAATGTCATGTATGAACCAAAGAGGGGCTGTGTCAAATTGTGGCTATTCATCCTTCAAAGTGGCTTTTAAATCAAACTCAATCCTTTGTGGGGTTGTTCTTAGAACTTAAATTGCATACGGAGCGTTGTGAGTTATCTTTTGTACAGAGGAGTGGAGGTAGAGTCAGTTTTGTTCTGGCCTTTGATAAAAAGGTGTTGCACCTAAAGTTTACTATTTTGTATTTTGATGTTTCTTTTTTTCATTTAATTTATGAATGTTTTATGTTTTTGGTATCAGGACACCTTCAGCTTCTGCATGTCATTCATGTTTGCTAATTTAATATGTGCGGCTTCTTATTGAATTCTAATTTTCTGCTTCTAAAATCATTTATTATGGGTATGGCTCTTTCTGGTTGGTAATAGTATCCCATAGTTTATGTAAGTGATCTTAGTTGAATTGAAACCATGTTGAACAAATGGTTCCTCAACTCTACAAGTTGTTACTGGGATGATTTTTGCTTTCATGACCAGAATATTTATATACTCGTGGGTTTCTTACAAATATAGGATTGGTTTGCTTTCATGACCAGAATATTTATATACTCGTGGGTTTCTTACAAATATAGGATTAGTTTTGTTAACAGAGGTGCTTGGAAATTTAATTACTGAGTTGGTTGTTCTTAGCAATGAAAGAGTAAGTTCACATTTACAGGAAAATAAAATAAAATAAAATGAACGTCTAAATATAGAATTTCTGGTCAGTGTGAAATTAGATTTGAGAGCTTTGAGAGCTTCCACGAGTCCAGAGTCAGGCTGATAAAGGTATGATTTTTCTTGTACGTTGTGAGCTTTACAAGATCTTCCTTTGATTGCCATCACCTCTACACAAAAGAGGGTTTTTTATTTTTTTGGCAAGGGTGTTTGGAGCTTCGCTTCAACGTCCCCAGATACATACAATTTCTGTCCATGAATAGATGTAGTCGTTTTGGAACTCATAACCTCCTAGCAAAGTTCATGGATTATAGCCACTAGACAAACCGTAGTAATTACATAAAAATATATTTAGTAATTTTAGGGCATATTTGATTGACAGGATTAGAGTATGCGATTATGTCGTGGACTCAATAATTCTATATTTGTTTTGAAATTTTGTTTCAAAATTATTAATCTAATAGATAATTAATCTAATAAATTTGTAAGATTATTAATAATGGGATAGGGGTGAGATTATATATTCCGAGTTAGGAAATAAAATAAAAAAACTCTTTTACCCTTTACTAAAAATTAAAACACTTATTAGTTTTATATAATTTTATATTTTAGAAGGTTAAAAATAATTTTTAAAAATTTAAAAATATTTTTTGATATTTATTTTATCAAATTAGTTTATATTTAAAAAAAAATAAAAAAACAAACTAAACGTGACCTTTGTGTTTTGTATTTTTATTTTGCCTTTATTTATTTGTTTATAATTTTTTTCAAAATCACGTTTATGAAGAAATTTTGGTAAAGTAAAGATTGTGAAGAAACATTGATGGAGGGTAAGATTGAAAAAGAAAATAAATATAGTTGTAATCTTATATTCATATGTTTTCTTATCCAATACAAATCAAATAATAAAATTATTAATATTTTTATTATTAATCTTATGAATTAAATATGCCCTTAAAGTACTAAGGCCAAGTTTGGCATCCTCAAAAAAATCTAAAAAGTCACTATCTTATTTAAGTCATATCACCTCTTTATCACATCACTTCAAATCCAACCCATACCCAACCCATATTTCATAAAAAGTCAAAAAATATACTTATTTAGGACACTCCAAACAATCCCTAATATTAGATGCGTAGAAAGTTTCCCGTCCAGGGCAAACAACTAGTCCAAGTAGTGGTTGTACTTAACCAATGAGACCGTGTAGAAGAAATTTGATCTCAAACCCATTGATCAAGGTATATCAAATCAATTTTATCAATTCAATGACTACTTCTGCTATTGATCCAATGACACTACTTCTCTGCTAGTAAAATCACATAAAAAAGGTTGACATAGGAAGGCCTACTTTGACAATCTTTTTGGCTGTGCATTGTTAGCACCATACATAATCAAAGAAAACAAGAAAGGTGGGACATATGAAACGTTGGAAATGAAAATTTGCTTTGACATTTTATATATATATTTTTCTTTTTAGCTACAAAATTGAAAGAAAACACAGAGAAATGAGGTACTTGATTTAAAAAATTAGGAGTATTTACTTGTAAGTCCTAATAAGTGGACTTATTATTTAATAAGTTTTATGAAAAAAAATTTATAAAAAACGGTCACTAATTGTAAGTTTTAGCGATAATTTATAAAAATTATAACAAAAAAAATCACTAATTATCAATTTTTAGCGACATGTATAAAAAATTATCACAAAAAAATTATTTTTAACCATAATTTTATCAAAACTTATCTTCAATAAGATTTAATAGAAACTAAATCAAACTATTAAGACCTATTAATAAAGATCAAAGGATTTTATAATTAGGCCTTGTATACCGTTAAATATCCACACTCCAAGCAAGTACCATGCCTTTTCTTTTTTTTTTTCTTTTTGTGTTGAGTATCGTGACTTTGATTGGAGCGTTTTCCAGCATTACTTCCACAGATTAATGTTTATCATAGATTAGTGTTTACGAATTGTCTGTTAAGCAATCAAATATATACAGGTAAGAGAGAGAGAGAGAGAGAGAGAGAGAGAGAGAGAGAGAGAGAGAGAGAGCACTCACACTATATTCATGAAGAGTGGGTCAACCCACTAAACTGTCTTATAAGGACAGATCATCACCTAACACATGCATATGGGACAAAGTTATAAATATACTACCCACGAGAAAGGAGTGATTGTAGAACATCTTGGCAAAATATCCGATCGGGGTTTTCGACCCCTCTCAATCTTAATGAAAACAATTAGTAATTGAATGAGGTAGATTTTAATTTGAAAAAATAAAAATAAAAAATACAGTTGGATTCGAATTGGGGTAGAAAAGAGTATTTTTTTACTTGAATTCTACTCAACTTGCAAAAATAATAAATAATAATAACAATACAGTTCTTTCTCTTTCTTTATACATAAAACTAATATTTATAAAATATATATAATAACCACACTGTGTATTATTGAGTTTCTATTAGGTTATATATATAATATATAATTTTAATATATGTACAATATATAATATATATTTTTAATTATAAATAGTGTTTTTTTAGTTTAAATTATTAAATATTAATATTATGGTTAAATTTTTTATTTTATTGTGGATCGATAAGGTCAGGAGTGAGGGTTATAAATTGATTAAAATATTTTTAAAAAATACTAAAAAAATAAAAATATATTTACATTTTTGTTTGACTTTTTTTTTTCATGAATTTTTTTCATATTTATTTTTAGTAATTTTTTTTTTCATATTTAGTTATTATTTTATGGCATTACTTTCCTATTAAAGATTGTGACGTTTTATTTGAAAAAAGATGCTCCTGAGTAACATGGGCTCAATTCACTGAAACACTTGTTCTCCAATTACGTGGAACTGGTTTTTTTTTTTTTGGAAGTATATTGGAGGGGAATTTCACATATGGCATAATTTAAGGGAATCACTTCTTTCCAGTTGGATATTAGATTGGAAGGTTCTATTGGGCCACCGTGAGCCTGTCACGGAATCCGCATCGATGATCCAAACAACTTAATATGTAGAGCTAGTCAAGTATTTCATCTTTACAAAAAATCAAGTTGATCGAATCACATTTGTATCAATGATAAGTATAATTTTAAAAATAAATTATTGATATAAATATGATCTAATCAAATGTCTATTGATATTCGATTAACGTAATTTTTTATAAAGATAAATTACTTAACGAGCTCTATGCTTTATAATTTAGATCATTAAAACAGATTAAAAATGAATCTTATATGGGCCAGACTGGACCGGAGACAAAACAGTACTTAATTTAAAACCTAAACATGGGATCAATTCACTGGAACATTTTTTTTAATTATATGCATAGTTAATAGTGCTAGTTATATATAATTCAAGAGAGGTGAACAAGGAAGCAAAATGGAATCCCCCTATGCGGGTGGTTTCGATTTGTCAACTAACAAAACAAAAGAGTTTGGTTAGTACTAAAATTTTTAAATTTTGATTAAAATCTTTAATATAGGGTTGAAATGTCCCTTTTTCGACTGATCATGTCATTTGATAATGCAGTTCGTCCTGGGTGGATGGGCTGGGCTGGTCCAAGCTCCTCAAGTTCCGATTCAGGCTGATGATTCTACCAGATAACCTGCAAGCAAGTCTAAAGGGGAACGGGGCAGTCCCCCAGTGAACCCTCCGGCGAGCGAATCAGTAAGGGGAGAAGGAGAGAGAGAGAGATAGAAAAGCTTAACCTTCCTCTTGTCTTCCATTCTTGTTTATATTCTTTGGTAATCATTTCACTGTCCCTTGTGACGTGCCCCCTTCCGCCGAAAGCCTGTGCCGTAGCTTACTTTGTTCAGGGTGAGGGGGCTCCGTTCCAACGGGGAGGTGTTGTCGTAATAAATGCTGTGATGGGCTGCATTAATGGTGATGTGTTGTGGTAATAACTCTGCAGATCTTTTTCTGCTGATGTGGCCTGTGTTCCACTTGCCATGTGCCCGAATGCCATTGGCCCTCCATGTCCAGATGGCCTCCAACTGTCCTGGGCTTTGCCAACCGGGTTATGCTATTGGTCCCAAGCGATGGGTTTGGGATGGTTTGCTGTGGGCCGTAAGCCTTGTGGGCCTATCCATGTCAGTAGTCCCCCATTTCCGAGTGCAGCTTTAGCCTAACGAAGGGAATAGTAATAAGGAAGAGAAGTGCGAACCGAGTGGAGAGGCCGACTGGAAGCCGTGCCGACCGCAAGGGTGACCGAGCGGGAGAAGCTGACCGTAAGGGTGGCCGAGTGGGAGGGGTCGACCGTGAGGCGTGTCGACTGCGAGGGTGGCCGAGCGGGAGGGGTCGATACCGCTAGGCGTGCCGACCAGGACGGCGAGGGGCTCAAAACAGGAGAGAGGGGGTGGGGGATGTGATGATGTGAAATGGAAAGGACAGGGTAAGGAGAGGGGGACGTGCACTCGTGGTGCCATACACGTGGGCAATTCGTGGGGGAAGTGAAGCGGTTGGAGTAGAAATGAAACGATAGGGGTCACGAGGGGGTTTTGAAAATGCGGTTTTGAACGGTTGATTTGGAAGGTTTTTGGAAAACGGGACGAAAATTAATGTGATACATGGAATACGGGTAAACGTGGGTTGTTGGGTATAATGCGTTTCCACTACCTTTATTACAACAAACTCAAATACCCAAGTGT